AAAAAAAAAGATCAACTCACAAGCAAGCTGTGTAGGAGCGGCCATTTTCAACAATCCAGCACCTGTATCAAACCACACGCAATTCAAAGTATGCTATCGTATGCGAATTTTCCAACAGGAAAAGCAATCAAGGCAGATGCGAGGAAGTTTTCACAATCCTCCCTAGTGTGGCGAAGCACGAAAGCTGCGAGAATCCCCAGCAAGCGTGATATAAACAAAAAAAAAAAAAAAAGTGCACAAAAACAGCAAACCTGTCGGTCTGTGTCTGTTCTCTCGGTTTGTCGGTTTGTATCTGGTAGTTGTGGCGAGAACTGGTGTTGGTCTGACGCAACGGAGACCACACAAATCCGCACAAAGAAGAGCCCGAACGAGGGAAGAGTTTAATTGGAGTTGGTGCTTGACAAGTCAATGCCAGCAAGTTGAAGGCAAGCAGAGCGCGAGAGGGATGGAGGGGTGTGTAGAGGGTGTAGAGGAAGAGGTGTAGAGGCGGAAGTGAAGAGGTGGAAGTTGAGTGGGTGAAAAAAGTTCGGCGGCATACGACTACAAGTGATATACAGTAGAATATTACTAGACACTTATACTGCTATACCTCAGTAAATAAAATTGATTCAGCTCGATTTAAAAACAGATTAGAACAGAAACATAACAGAAACAGTAATCCTCCTAAGACGCCAGCCAGTACAATTACACCCAACCAAACCCGAAATAGAACATAATAAAAAGAAGAGTCAACTACCATCACCATTATACGGAGTAGCCAACCGCGGAGTCCTCACAGTAGTATCAACCACATCCGCATCATAAGTCATCCCATCAATCATCCTCGCATCCTCCCCCGTCTGCTCCGGCACATTCGACGACGATCCCGCCGGCGACAACGGCGACGGCATCATAGGATTATCACCCTGACCCTGCAAATACGCTGCGATCGTATTCGCCCGGCTCGTCGTCGGACTACCCAACGAACTAGGCGTGCGCCGACCACCAGACGACACCCGGTTCAAATTCGGCCGTGAAATCGGTCCGCTAACAGTACTTGCGCCCTCACCGAAGCCCACGAGGCTGGCATTCCCCTCATCGCTGATGTTACCCACGCTCGAGGTACCGTCATCAGGGTCCTCACTCATCTTATCGCCGTCAAAGGTGAAGTCGCTGCCGCTAGCCCAGGTCGTGCGCCCGCCGACGCTGGCTGTCGTCGCGCTGGCGCTGCCCACGGTGCTTCGCTCTTTGCTGTTGTTGTACTGGCTGTCGAAGTAGCCCGGGATGATCTGTGTCGCGAGACCTGAGCCGCCGGGCTGGGAGGTGGGACTGGCGCGAGTGGTAGCGACTCGTTCGAGACCGGCAAGGCGGGAGATGCGGTCTGCGCGTTCGGCCTCGAGGGTGTTGGTGGAGCTGAGTGAGGTGGTGGAGGAGTGGTGCGCATGACGGCCGTGGGGATGGGGATGGCCCTGGTGGCCGTCTTTGATGGCGGTGGTGGATAGCGCGGAGAGAGAGGTGGTTCCTGAGTTGGGGGTGCCCCTGGGTTTTCAGCTGGTTTCTTCGCGTATATGAGTACAGTAGACTTACGGTCCCATATCAGATGGAGTGACGGAGCCGGAGGGAGGAGGAGGCAAGTTGATCAGGGTAGGAGTAGACATCTTTTCTCTGATGTAGAGTAGTAAGAATAGAGAGTAGACGAGGCCAGCTGCACTCGACTGCGGAGTAGATCAATTAGCGACAGCCCACGTAGCGGATCCGATTGCGATGAAGCAAGGAGAAGATTGACTAGTAGTTGAATATCCAGTCAAACTGTGAATGAATACAACACACGCACAAAAAACGATGACGAGGAAAGGAAGTGTAGTAGGTGGAGGGGCGAGTTTATCTTGCCGCATTCACCAGAGACCACAAACGGCTTACTGATCCCCTTACTAGTACTATGTATATTCTTCTGACATCGACATGAATCGCATTCTTTTCTAGATAATAATATTTTATGTTCCTTATTTCGTTCGTCAAAATGAGGCGACGTCATGGCTCCCCGCAGCCAATCAATCCCCATGCTCTAGCACTATTGTATATTAATACTAGTGCAAGCGTCGCATATAGCTACTTGCTGTGTAGATACAAAAAATAGAGCCATAGCTTATTACGGCGTATATACGTATCAGTCTCCGAGTTCAGCATAGTCCGTCATAACTCCGCCCCAGACCCGTCTCCAAGGTCCACATCCGTTCCAAACAATGTTCTAGTTCTCGCCACCGCCGGATACAGAGTATGCATTATGTTATGTACAATGGTAGGGATTCATACATGTACGGAGTAACTAACAAACAAAAAAACATTCATTAACGTCAGATTCATGAGTCACAACTGCTTATACAATGCATCGACAACTAATGACTCCCCTGATGACTCTCATACCGTCCTCGTAGATCATCCACCTCTTTCTGTAACCGCGATAGATCCTCCAGGATATTATTCGCGTTTGACGGTTGGAAGGAAATCTCTTCTTCTGTCTTCTTCGGCTGCATGTAGCCAGTAGGCTGGGTACCGTCATTGCTATAACGAGCCCGTCGCGGGGGTGGTGGAGGAGGCGCTGTGGCTGAAGAGGACCCTGACGCTGTTCGTCGGATAGATGTTGTTCTCGATAGTGGTGACTCCGCGGTGGGTGATAGCGGGGATGGCGCTTGCTCTTTAAGAGACGGGGTAGACTTCAGTGTATGCTCATCGGTTTGCAATGACAGCGGCCTCGACGTTCGTTGCACCGGCGGGTTTAATGACGTGGTGGTGGTACCTGGACTCGGCGGCGGGGAGGGCTTGACTCCCTCGCTCCCGAAAGGTAGTGACAATCGGTTCTGATTTTGTTTGGACGATAATGTAGATTTGGATCTCTTCATCTGACTATGTCGTCGACTGAGCGGCGGCGTAGGCGGACGCTTGTATTGAGACTGACTGCGTTTGAGCGTGTCCGTCGCTCTGGTGTTCGAGTTCAAGTTCTGATTCTGGCTTTCATTTGGAACTTTTGAAAAATAGTCCAGCTGGACAGACGGCTTGCTAGGCTGCGACGGCGTACTCGGTGTACAGAACGAAGTCTCGGAAGAAGAGTCATGAAAGGAAAAGCGTTTCGATTCGGCCGGCACCGGTTGCGCAGGATTATTGATCAACTTCCCATGGTGACTCTTCGGAGGAGGCGGTGGTTTCTTCTCCCTGTTCCCTGACCTGCTGCTCAGGGATCTTGTATCAATATCTGTAACCGACGTGCGTTTGTTCACCGTCCCCGAACGTGTAGATAACTGAGAGACATCCGTGCTGCTACTATTTGCAGTCCGGGACCCCGTCGGAGGCGGAGGCGGGGGAAGTGGACGACTAGCCCGCTTTGCAGATTTTGGATGTAATGCGTTGCTTTCTTTCATGGCTGATATATCTGCGCTCGTAGGAGGTGCCGATGATAGACCGTCGGGCTGAACGGCAGAGTCCCGTCGAGTCTCATTGTAACTCCCACCATCCCCATGATTATCGCTCAAGTGTGAAGCCTGCCGGAAAGGATCTGACGTCGAGCCATCATCTGACGACATGGATTTAGTATCAACATCCCTGGTCGATTCCGCTGTCGATGCCGTTGTCGCGACGGTAGGAGTAGCAGCGGCGGCGTTCTGATTATCGTTGTCCTGCGCGTCAAACGCCTTTATATTCTCATTTCCATTATCCTTCTCATTGCTATAACCAGTAGGCTCAGGGGGAGCGAAAAGCGAATCATCAACGAATTGCGTCGTAACTGGAAGCGCTGCACCACGATCAACATCAGCCTTCACATCCTCCCGGGGCCCCCAAGCGGAAGTGGCGGCAAGAAACGCAGACTCACTCACCGTCAGACTTCCTACTAAGGCGGAAAGGATTTAATCCAGACATCGCGAAGGAAGTAAACTGCGCCGAGCATCAGAATGATTAGAGTTGGGAGGGAAAGAAAAGGAAAAAGGGGAGGAGAAGGAAGAGGAGAAGGCTGAGGTGAGATACTAACAACAAGGTTGGGTTGGAATGGCCGTTTTCGGATAAACTGCTATAATTGTTTGGATTCATAGATTTGTTATGATTGATAATAGCATACAAAAATGTGAAATATTTCAAGTCTTTTTTTGTTGTATATTTTTACGGGGTAATTGTGGTTGTATTGCTATTACTTTTGTAGCACATCACCATCACAAGCTTCCGAGTACGTCGGCAATCCCGTACCCTGCTACACAATGGACACCAGATACCTTGTAATACCCTGTACAAGGATGCAATACTTGTTTATGAGTTGGCACACTTGAATGCAGCCATTTATTGGCTATAATTCCCCCAAATCGACATCTGCATGTCATTAGCCTCTCAAAGGCTATCGTACATGGGTATGATTTGCATCCCGGGGGGTTATATCCTAGTAAACATCAAAGTCGTATCTAAGTATGAGAACAAACTGCCGCTTGGATGATGGTGTAAATATGCCTGCTATTTGGCTGATTGCAACTTGCTTCCCTCGCCTCTAAAAGATAAAATGACAACAATATGCAACTGTTGACGACAATAAACGAATAAAAGACATATATAATACAGAGAAGATATCAAGGAAATGAAAAAAGAAAGAAAACCATGATAAAAACACAGTCTCCTGTCAGATCCGCGTTATACAAATTGAGCCAGATTGCTATGCGCAATCTCTTCGTATACCAAAGCCCAATGGATAAACAAAACAAATGAAAAGGGTATCAGTCAGTCAGTCTTGTACTGTGTGTAACGTCCATATCTGCTTTCATCCCACGCAATTTCGATCCTGCGAAAGGTTCAATTCTCATTGTAAACATGCCACGGCTCATCGGGCCCAAAGAATGACTGAATCAAACGATTCCCACTTTCAGTGGGTTGACTAAAAGCAATCTGCCCTCGGGGGATTTCCATCCCGTAGATGAAATTCACCACCACGCAATCCAAGAGATCCATGGCAATTCCTTTCCGTCGGGACGAGCCTGAGGTCCAGATCCGCGAAATGCCGACGATGGCGGGATGTGTCTCATCTCCAACCGTAATCGAGGAGCTGTTGTTGGACGGGTGTTCGGCACCACCGCCGTTGGCCTGTGTTGCCGGCTTTTGGACGGGCTTGGACTCCCAAATCCGCTCCGTCAGACATGCTCCCACGCAGCGACTGTCCTTCATGTGTAGAAAGACCTTGTAGCGATCTACCTTTTCCATCGACTCATGTTGTTGATCCTTGGGAGGCTCAACTTGACTCCAGAGGACGTCATCGGGAATCTCCGGAGAGGAGAGGTCCTTGCCGATAACCTCCAGCACTTTCTTCGCTTGGTTCTTCGCAGACGGTGATGCCTTGCGATCAACAATTACCACGTAGCCCTCATCAAATCGAGTCGCCTCGTAAACCCAGCGACATGCATTCGCCCGCATAAACGCCTTCCCAAGATCAACTCCGGTCGAGTTCATATCATGAAACTTCTTATGCAAAGCTGCATCCTCCGTATTAGTGGGATTGTATTCCATCCCACAAGTCGTACATGTCTTGCGCACATCCCGTCCCACATCGATCTGCATCTGTTTCAGCGTCGGCTGCTGCTGCTGTCGTTGTTGCGATGGCTGTTTCAGCTTTTTCTTCGGCGGATCCGCTGACGAGCGCACGCTATTCGAGTTCACTTCGGAAAGCGGGGTACCATTGGCAGCATCTTTAGTCGCGGAGTGCTTGCGCTTGAGGAACGAAAACGTGGGTTTCCGCGTATTGGCCGGTGGCGGGCTCAGCCTGGGTGGCGGCGAGGATGGAGGTGTTGAGAGGTCATCGTCCTGCGTAGCCTCTGAGGGAACAATTGAATTGCGACGCGACGGACTTGATAGGATGGCGGCGGATGACTCGCGTATAGCATATTGTAGATTGGCTTCAGCTTCGTCGGACTCGTCGCCGACTTGGACGCGTCTCTTCTTCGCGGCAGGGTTTTGGTCGTCGTCGTAGACGCGCCATAAGGGTCTTCCGTAAGTTTTCATGAGGCCTCTGTAAACGGACAGTATATTAGCATCATTTTGGAGTCATGGTGGCTGGCGACCGTACCGCTTGAATGAATTCGTTACAGTCCACGGCATCTCAATGTCGACAAATGCATTTACTTGGGAGCGCGAGGCGACATGGACGAGGCTGAAACGAGGGTTTTATAAGATCGCCTGCCTTGACGCTTTTTGGTGGCGAACTGGACGTGTTTACTTTTTTATGCGGGTTTGGCGCACAGCAGGAGAAATCACGGGCAACGCGTGTGGTTGGCGCTAAGCCGCTTTTAGTCATATTGCTGGTGTCAGTCACGAGACTTACTTACTGGATATTTGTATAGATTGAGAAGAAGAGGTGGATGGTAATAATAGTAGTAGTAATAGTAAGGATAAAGAGATTGTGAAATGAGAGAGAAGAACACTGTATTTATGTGCGTATGAATGTTGCGAATTCCGTGATGAGGACGGAGTATGCGGATATGATGAATGATGATCGAACGAACCACTGTTATACTGAAATAGATAGTAGAAGAGAAGATAATTGAGAGATGATGACAGAAAATAGAGAATACTTGTAGAAGATGACACTACTCAGGCCACCATTGCTGTGGAACTTTCTCGCCCCTTAATAGCGCTCACCACTACTTCCTACTATGTATAACTATACGGACTCATTAGAATACTTGGGGCCTAATCATCGCCAACCCATTCAAATCAGAGTCCTCCATATTGTGAGTCTCTTCAAGACACTGTATGAGGATCCGACCAAATCTGACAGATCCGCCCCCAGGATACGGGGTACACAGAATCACATCCTCAGCTTGGCTGACAGCGATCGTCCTCGTTGTACGATAGATGAGAATACGGAGTACATCAGCCTGGGCGATGGCGTGGATGCCCCATCTCAGCCAACCCCATCGATCTTATGCCTGCGAAGATGTTGCCTTGCTTGCGCAGCTAAGGCGCAGCAGGCTGTACTTGTAAGCAGTGAAGGTAAAGCTCCGTTTGGTTCTTGACTGACGTCTGCTCAGTGTTCATATAGGTAGAGTGGCAAATTTCAGTCAATACGATGGCTGGTTATTCGGTGGCAGATGTGCTATTAGTCACCAGTTCATGTTATTGCTGCATACAGCAACCCTCGAATAACGAGCTGATCTCTGGTGATTGCAATCTATGCAATTCCATCACTTGCGCACTCCCTGCATTATCAAGGTCGTACTACTAAGCTGTTTGCGCACCATCGCCTCGATGGCGCTGGCATGTGTAACTTGGATTCGCCTGCCATGAGTCACTTCCCTGTTGATACAGAGTACTCTCTACTCTGTTTCTCGTTATTTTGCCCTGTTGGGTAATTTGGCCCCATGGCTCTACTGAGTACTGAGAGTGCCTCATTCAGGTGCAGAATAGCTCGGACCCCGGGCGATGATCTCCTGTGACAGTGAGAATGGCCTGCATAATATCGCTCATGCTTCTTGATAGTACTCTGTATGTACTCTCGCACTCCGGGACCGGCGTCAGACATCAGAGTATTAGTGTCGCTAGCCGGAAATACTTAACGGTCCAACTGATACTTCGGAGTACGCTTCCCGGAGGACTGACGGCCGTCCCCAACGCCTGGATGTTCGATTATCCTGCAAATTATCTTCAGAGAAATTAAACATGTGCTTTTGCTATACCGGCCAGTCTTACGGAGTAACGGAGACAACGATCCTGGGTATGTTGGCCTACGAGAAACTATCAGCGTTGATTAATTTCGGCTTAGGTCGGTTATTAAAGTAGTAACAAAAGCAATTCAATTAAAGAGAACCAGATGGAATGGCAATAATTCCTCGTACTTGTATTGTTGTTGGTATGCCTCTTTGGTATATTAACTCCGCCTGCCGCTTTTCGGTTTTTTTTTTTCTCTTCCTTTTTTTTTCTTACTTCCACCTTTTCGTTCTCTCAACAAGAAAAAATTTTCTCTACCCTTTTCAAACTTTCAATTGCAAGATAAACAATCCTTTTCTTCAGATAGAACAGAGACAATAATGGCAGACACAACTCAAGTGGCCGGCAAGAGAAAGCGTGCGAGTATGTTTAACCCAATGGGAACCCCCGACAGTCTTTTTTCCGTTCCCCTCACCTTTTTTCTTCTCTCTTTCATCCCCCTCTCTTCTCTCAACGAGGCACTTCAACAAAACCCTGGATATTTTTTTTTTTTTTTTTTCACTGGATATACTAGCTATTCTGTTCAACACTTTATTTGTGATATTTCACACTGCTTCTGTGCCCCTGCGAGATTCTCACTTTTGCCCCCTCTTTTGATCATCCGCCACTGGACACGACATCTTCAGAATATACAAGAAATGACTGACCAACCTTCTTCAGGGACCCAGTCCTGCCCTCCTCCCGAGTTGCCTCAGCTGGTGGCCGAGCAGCACGTTCCCATCCCTCCCCAAGACAAGGACACCAAGCGTTTGATTGTCGTTCTTTCCAATGCCAGCTTGGAGACTTACCGGGCTGCTCACGGCGGACGCAGCGGTCCGGGTCGCGATGAGAAGTACTCGTTGCTGAACAGTGACGAACACATTGGTGTCATGCGCAAGATGAACCGTGACATTAGCGAGGCCCGTCCGGATATCACACATCAGGTTAGTCTTTACTCCTCATCTGTCTTGTTCGGTTGACTAACCGTGGCTTTGATGTAGTGCCTCCTGACCCTCCTCGACTCGCCCGTCAACAAGGCCGGACGACTCCAAATTTTCATTCATACCGCCAAAGGGGTTCTGATCGAAGTGAACCCCTCCGTCCGTATCCCCAGAACCTTCAAGCGGTTCGCCGGTCTGATGGTTCAACTCCTTCACCGGTTGTCTATTCGCTCAACAAACTCCCAGGAGAAGTTGCTGAAGGTCATCAAGAACCCCATCACGGATCACCTTCCCCCCAATTGCCGGAAAGTGACACTCAGTTTCGAGGCCCCCGTCGTGCGGACCACCGACTACGTCGAGTCCATGGGTCCCAACGAGAGCATTTGCATCTTTGTTGGTGCCATGGCCAAGGGTCACGATGACTTTGCCGACTCCTTCAAGGACGACACCATCAGTATCAGTAACTACAGTCTGAGTGCAAGTGTGGCGTGCAGTAAATTCTGCCATGCTGCCGAAGAAGCCTGGGACATCCTTTGATTTCCCAGCGTTTATGCGTCAACCGCATATTTAACGAGGGAAGGGAAAAAAAGAAACTTTTTTTTTTTTTTACGAGGTGACGAAATTTCTTGCGTTGGTTACTCGATGCGGTGATTAAATGCCGCACATTCCAAAAACGCACGATATTTAATGTTTTTGTTGGAATCCTTCATTTAGGGGTTTTTACAACGCTATCGCCGCAGCAGGGCCACCGGCGTCTTATGGGCCTTCGCCTTCCAGGGACGGTCTCATGCGGTGCTGGTCGGATTAAAATGGGCCCTACGGTCATGACGGCCCAAGACAGGGTTTGGCCTTGGCCTGTGGCGATTTGCGCGCTGAGGACTTGAGCGCGTGCCAAGTGTGGCACGCCAAAGAAAAGGAGGGGATATTGTGAGAGACGTGGTGGTCAGACGTCTTGGGGACTGGCACTTTCCACCTTATTTCGGTAGACGAATTCAACATTCTGTTCCCTTCCATGTCTTCAACAGACTTGGCCACTGTATGGGTAGGCTGGCGAGACGGCTATCCGGGGAGAGCAGCAAGTGCTGCACGAGAATCCTTACTGGCATGGTGAGACATCATCTCGTGATGGATTGCTCTGGCCATGAGGGTTATCAGATCGTAGTCGTAAGTACGGTACCCTGTACGTTATTGTACAAGTTCTCCGTAGACAGCGTAGATATCGATGCCTTGCTTGTGCCTGGAATTTGAGGCATTAGAATACATTCCTTGATCGCCTTTCTCCGGTATTTCGCCTGCAGAGTTCTCACAACTATCCTGCCTCCTGCAATTCAACCGGCGACATATACTCGCTTCAATTTATTTCAATCACGTCCACTCATTAATGAACCCCAGACCATAACCAATCCTTATTCGCCCGGGTGCTCCCGGTGGCTGGAGACCTCGACGTGGCACGCAGAAATCCCAGCATTGCCTCTACCCACAAGTGGACCGGGCCAGCCGCTTCACTTTTACTGGTTTACGCATTACAAGCGGATGACAGCAAGTTATCCTGGACAATACAGCGAGGATATGGCGATCAGGCCATGCACAGAGCTCTCTCGAGCAGAATCCGAACGAACTGAACGGCTTGGTAGGATGGGAACACCCTATCCATCAAGATGCTCTTAGTCTCTCGCTAAGGGATCATGGCCGTAGACAAAGTTCGGCGGTCGGAGTGCAAATAATGCCCAAGAGGAACGAGGCACAACGCCATCCTATCGGTCTGACTCTCGGGACATTCTGACAAAGTACGGAGCACACGAAGCACTTACAGACGGTGTGAAAAGTCTGTCTGCCCCTCAGCCGGTGCTGGTCCAATACGGGCGGTCCTTCATGGCTTTTTGACTTTCTTTCTCGCTGCCTTGTCTCCTCACCAGCGTCAAAGAATATGCACTCCTCGGGACTCCCTATCTGCGGATCGGGCTCCTGTCAGTAGTACAATCCCTGATCTATCCTTGTCCTATCCTTTCCCTGATAGGCGCTCATCCGACCCGGGAGAAGATTCAATTCCCCGCGATGACCTGGCTGGTTGGTCTCCACCTTGAATCTCTTCTGGTCTTGGAGCTTCACCGAAAGAGAGCGAAGAACGTAGCCATGATGGGTCGAAACATGCATTACCGAGACTCCTGGTTGGAAGACCTCGTGGAAGGGCCGAAGATTACCTGCAGTGCTGGGCTTGTATGCTACATGACTGGTCAGTCTGGCACCGTATTTCCTTTCAGGGCTGGATACATGGTTCTCTAAGCTTTTCCTGTTTTTCCATTTCGCCGTATATTGGGCATCTTTTTCTTTCTATCCGTTCATACGTACGCCTTGAAATACTGCACTTTCCGCAGCTGTCTGGCTCGGGTTTTATACTCTCGTTCTTTATTGATTTACCGCACATTGTCAATCAGTGCTGCATATAAGACTGTCTTTCGCTTTAAGTCTCACCGTCTACCCCGCCAGCCGCTAGACAACGCACTCGTCCCAACTTTCTATAACAACTTCACATCATCTTACAGTGACAACTCGCAAGGTCTTCCTGCGAGACTCAAACATGCCCCTGGCTCACCTTACCCTCACAGTTCGAGATGTTCGAGCTGCCACTTCGTTCTTTCTCGCTTGCTTGCAACCCCTCGGTTACCAATTTGTTGGTCGCCATGAAGATTACATCGGTTTTGGGCAGAAGACCGGCGAGCCAGCTGACTTTTGGTTAACAGAACAGAAGCCTGGGTATGTTCTGTTACACCGTATCCTGAAACCTCACTAATCTAAACAGACTACCCGCTGGCGCAGCACACCTGGCCTTCCCCGCTCCTTCAAGAGAAGCAGTGGGCAAGTTCTTCATGGCAGCCTTAAAAGCCGGAGGAAGAGTACATGGGGAGCCGAAACTTCGCGATCCTGATTCTGGCTACTACAGCGCTGCCATTATAGACTCCAATGGAAACAGCGTCGAGGCTGTCTACCGCCCGGGCCACTCGTCCGCAATGTCGGCGGTTAGCTCGTCGGTTGACAGTACTGTTTCTATTACCACTAAGAGTAGCTCGAGAGCTAGCTCTAGGACACAGACTACTGTGCCGTCTCGGTCAGAAGCCCGGTCGCATACATCAAGGGCTAGCACTAAGGTCGAGAGACCTCCTCCGTCGGAGAAGTCGAGAGACTTGAGAGAACCGAGGGACCCCAGAGAGTACAGGGAGTCGAGGGATCCAAGAGAATCGCGGGGGGCAAGGGACCCGAGGGATCCGAGGGAGTCGAGAGAGCCAAGGGAATCAAGGGAATCAAGGGAATCAAGGGAATCAAGGGAATCAAGGGAACCGAGGGAACCGAGAGAGTCGAGAGAGCCAAGGGAATCAAAGGGGTCAAGGGAATCTACTGCAAGCTCGAATAGCAGACGGGGAAGTTCAACGGCTCAGGCCCAGGCCCATGCAGCCCAGCAGCGAGAGCAGCGAGAACAGCGAGAACAGCGAGAACAGCGAGAGCGAGAGCAGCGAGAGCAGGATGGCAGCAGCCGGGCGGCTAAGACGCTTGTCGGTTCGCTCATCGGTGCTGCAGCAGGTGCTGCCCTTGCCTATGCCTGGAGCGGTCAGTCGCCATCGTCGGAAGATACACCTTCGCAGCCTACGCAACCTGCGCAGCCCGCACAACCTGCGCAGCCCACCCAGTCTGGTCAGTCCGCACAACAACCACCGCGCGAACGAACTTACCAACAAGCGCCGTCCTCGCGGTCCTCATCCCAGACAGCACAGACATTACCAATCAGAACCATCGAGGCAGGCGGCTCGTACTTCCCACCGAAGCAACCGGATCCTCCCCGCCCAGGCCTAACCCGCAGTGTCACGTCCAAGAACCCCCGCGCCAGTACCATCTACGAAGGCTCCGAATATGGCGGCAAATCCGAGACCAGCCGTACCTATCTCGACGACAGCGGCCGGCGCGCCTCTGACGGCGGAGCCGCCTTTGGTCTCCCAGACCTCGCAAACCTACCTCTCCGAGCTATCGAATATCCCCCACCCACATACAGCAAGGCAAACGAACCGTCGCGGAGGATGGACGACGATAAACGAAGCATGTACTCCGCTTCCACAGCCCGACCTTCTAATGCAAGCTACCAGTACCAATACCAAGACGATCGCGACCGCTCTGCCTACGCCCTCTCCCACGCCAACACAACCAACAACAAATACAAACCCAACAGCACCGCCTCCCGCACCCCGCGCAACATCCCCCTCCCAGACTCAATAGCCTCCTCCTACCGCACCAGCGCCAGCGGCACAAACACAAACACCGGATCCTACACCTCGGCGCGTGGCGCCCCCCTCACAGAGGGCTCCCTCGCATCCTTCCGCAGCAATTCCGCTGTTCCCATCCCCGAAAGCGTCATCAACGTCGACGTCGACACGGACGTCACCCCTGACGACTCGGTGAGCCAGATCTCGTCGAACGCGCACCGGTCGAAGCCGAGGCAGATGCCGGCAAAGTCTGGGGTTTCGGCGGCTGCGCTGTCGAAGAAGTCGAGTCGGTTTGAGGAGCCGGTTAGGCCGGATGATAGTGTTAGTCAGGTTTCGTGTAATTCGAGGTCGACGGCTAGGGCTGGAGGAGGAGGTGGTGGTGGTGGTGGTGAGCGAAGGAGAAGTCAAGCTGTATAGGGATTGGTAGTTTGGGGTTGAGATGAGTTGGTTGCATATTGTGTGTGTGTGTGTGTGTGTGTGTGTGTGTGTGTGTGTGTGTGTGTGTTTTTCTTTCTTTGCTTTGTTTCCGTCGGGTACGGATTGGTTTTACTTTGCTTTTGCTTCTTTCACATTCATTTGAGCATTGTTTGTCGATGTCACTTGGCTATGATGGACATCTACATTTTCTTTTCCAGACTATATTTTCCGGTTAGTTGGCGTTGGGTATAAATACAGTTGAATGATATCATCGGAGCTTGAATAAATCACCCTTCTACGTGTATAGAAAATACAGACAGTAATCTAGTATAAGAAACATCAAACATGATGGCATTTTAATCGACGGTTGTGATTCTGTCTCGACGGGGCTCTAAATATACACATGTGAAGCCCAACAATGCAGTTTATACAGTCAGAATAACTACCTTCGTTTCTGAAACTCGAGAACTGCGAAAAATCAAAGACTTAACTACAATGTAAACACAAAGAATGTCCCCATCGACACCCACACCCCACTCAACAACACCCAGCAGCCTACTCCCAACCCTACAACCACCCCTAATGTAAACACGTCCAGGCCGAGAATAGCGAACAGAGACCTCGACACCGCTAAAACAGCATCGCTTACTCCGTTGCTTTTGTCATCAACCATAAGGACAGATCAAGAGCAGCGTAGAAAAGGGAATGGACTGGTGTTCTGGAGTGTTGAGTGGGGGACTGAATGGACAGTGCAATGTTCGTGGATGATATTGCTGATCATTCAGGTGAGGGTGTCTGTGTGGAAGGAGATGGGGTTGATATATCGCATCCGATACAGAGCTTATTCCAAGAAGGAATTTCAAGGCATGAATCTCGCCTTGCGCTCCACCTTGCAGCGCGAAGAGTGAATTGTGAATGGGATATGTTTTGAAAAGAGAAAAAGAAAAGGGAGAATGCTGTATTGGGTATCTGAAATTGACGCATTTGGTTTAGTTTGCTTCTCTCCTACCTGATTAGATTAAGTAAAGATACGGGCTCGTTTGATCGGACTTCCCATCCGGAGTGATCGATTCCCACTTGCCATACCACTCAGCACACGGTCCATGCCGTTCACGTCGAGTTCACCGCGACGGAGCATGAGTTGGTCTACTTCTGTATTGATCGGCTCCTCTGCCGGTCGAGAGGCCGATTCATAGTGCGGTTCGACCAGTCGTGGGGCCAGGATCATAATGCGGTGCTCTGCGGTGACGAGAATGTCGAACTCCTGACGGTCCGTGGTCTTGCGAGTCTGGCGGGACGCTGCCGGGAGATGGCCGATGCCTGTGAAGTGCTCGCCCATCAGATGGACATCTTGGATTGTAGACACGCGGCAGCGGTTCGATGAGTCGAAGGTGCCGGCTGCTTTGACTGTGTTGCGCCATAGGGCTAATAGGCTGGGAATAACCGCGCTCTGGCTTCCGTGGCGCAGCAGAACCGACTCATCAGGCAATGCGTCTCGTGCCGAATTGGTCTGGAACACGGACAATTCGCCGCACATGGACGGCCTGGTGGACGTTCCAACCGAGCCTTTGAGCAAAGTGTCCTCACGCACCCGCTTCGTTGATGGTGTTAAGGGAGCAAATTTTGGTCGCTGCTCGGTCTCGCCCGGGTCCGTCTTGTTCCCCAGCGGACTGAGAATGCGGCCACTGACCGAAAATGTGGTCAGAGAACCTCCAGTGACTCCTTGAACACTAGATTGGCGCTGTAGAGGTCCCTTAGCGGTCCCTGGACCAGCACCCTCGATATCCCAGACTCCCCATTCACTGTCAGCCATCAAGACCATCAATGCACGTCCACCAAGCACCCAATCAGCATCAATAATCGTCTTTCGAAGTGGGAGTCCCGAAGGCGTTGATTCAAATCCAGGGAAGAGACTAATGAGCCATCTTCCTTCCGTCTCTGTAATCTCGTAGTCGCTCTGCGGCCCGGACCTTCGCGACGCCTTAGACGGCTTGGTCGAAAAGCACGAGTAAACTTTCACGCATCCGTGGAATGCGACAAGCAGAGTTGAGTGGCGTGTTGATGGGTATCCCGACGGATTGAAGGCGATTGTCTGGGCAGGAACGGGTAAATGGCGTCTCCTTGACTCGATATCCTCGTCTGACAGCCGGTATCTGATCTGGCTATGATTGAATTCTTCCAATAAAGCAATCCGGTGTATTAAAAGCAGGCCCGACGCCTCCGCAGAATGAGTTGCCACAAGAAGATCCCACCTTTCCGCCGTATTTCCATTGTTTTCAACCTCTTGGCAAGTAAACGTAATCGAAACACCGCGCGGAATCTCCTGGTGAGAGACCCCACCAGCGATGGAAAGCGTCTGAATATCCCATGCCGACGGATCGGTCTGAACAAGGTGAGGTGGTTTCAACGGGAGTGTAACGATTCGCGTTGAAAAGTCTGCGCAGATGGCGGCCACCACGATCGAATCCTTCAACAGAGGCGGGAAAGGATCAAGGGCTGAGCGTGAAGCCTCCGGGAGAACACGCGGTACGGCTAAGTCAAGAACTTTGCTTCCCAACGGGATGTCGATCTGTCGGAGAATCCCTTCGAAAGGATAGGCAGGGTCAACCTCTGTCTCCTCCGCCTCAAAATCATATACAGTCTCTTCTTTATGTGGCTCTGGGCTGTCCTCATCGTCCGAGTCGATGATCATGACCGCATCGTCATTGGCACCGTTGGGCTTCTTTGACTTATTCCCGTTCAGGGACGCTGTTTTTGGGAGGGAAAATCGTCTTCCACCTCTCCAGACCACCTTAAACCCATTTTCATAGCCGTAAATGATAATCGAGGAGCCATTCGGAGCGAGGATAGGGTAGCCTTTCGCAGAGTGAACGCGGTGAGGAAGTTGGTAGCTGGAGCTGTTAGACCGGGTTTATCCCCAAATAAAGATGCAGTGGCAAGTACCTGAGCTGCAGGCCATCATCCCTTGGCCTTATCAAAGGCGTATCAGGAAATGAGGGCATTGGTGGTGGCGATTCAAGCTTGACTGTTTCTGTTTGATTGGCGAAGAAAAACAAGGGAGCTACTGCTAAAACCAGCAGATGAATATTCAGTGATCAATGTGAGTCCTCTGTGATTGGAAGTCTCTAAGCAATTAGAGTACTTCTGTAATGGTATAGTTATAGAGAACAGTTGTGGTTGTAGAGAGTTGGAGGAAGTTGGCTCTCCCCGAAGAGGGAAAAAAGGAAAAGCCGTGCCGCGTCGAGCTCACTCTCAGTACGGAAAAACAACAACACGCGGAGACCTTGACAACGCTCCGTCCGAGGTCTTTGGTCTGTTTGCTTACTGACTGCTAAACTGACAATGGACATGACCCAGTCACTGGCTCCTATTGCCAGAATTGATACTCCTGCATAATGGCGACTGTCCGCTCTCTCGGCCTCCACGTCCCCTCCGCCCTCCCGTTCCTGATCGCAGAGAAACTCCTACCCCCCGATCCTTCTGACGACCAGTATGCCTGGAAAACCTGTGTCGATGAAACGCCAAATGGCTCCGTGGCGGATGAGATCGTATGGACAAAAGAGTGCGTCGTGTGGTCACGAGCGGGGATTGTGACGAGGGTATTTCGATTGGAATTCGAGAAGGAGGAGATACGACACGCTTTGATAACACACTTTGTGCCGGAGAAGGCAAAGAACCCCAACGCAAATGGAAATGATACATGGGAATCTCAGGCAGGAGCACAGCGGGGATCGGAATCGAAGCTGGCTGCCTCTGGGTTGACACTTGGTCTACGAGATGGAGAGATACAGGGGACAAACGGTTCTGGCTCGACGAATGGGCTATCTAGAGCATTGGTGGTGGTGCTCAAGTCTCAGGCGCACATATTTTTCCTTACTGGCAACAGCCATGTCATTCCATTACCCTTCGAAGTCGACTCGGCATTTGCTACCCCTAGAGGTCTTCTATTTCAAAGAAAGGTCCAGGAAGAGGATATCAGTTCCACAATATATCCAATGGCGCCTCCCAATTCTTTTATATCTCGACCGGGTACGGCGTCTCAGTCTCAAACCAATCGGCCGTCATTAACGGTTTCCCCTCTCCAGCCCTCGCTGAAACCAAAGAAGGGTAAACATGCCAACCTTCCTAGGGTATTTTCCCTGATGGACCCTCATTCTGAGATGGGATTGGTTGTCACCAGCCAGTCTTCTCGTTGGTTGCAAAGCAGCACCAGTAGCAAACCTTCTGGACTAGATGTTCTGGATCCAGCAGATGAAATAGTATATGTCTCTCCAACAAATGAGCTGTCAGGTTTTAGTCAAGCATTAACTAGGGGCCCCCTCATACTTGTGGTGACAATCAATTCGCATACGGGTCTGTATACTATCTGGACCGCACGCTATAGAGATGAAGAGAACGCAACATCGTCTTCCTCGAAGAAACGAGAAAGACGTGAGACTGGAGGCACTCGCTCTCGACGACGAAGCTCCCATTTTGGAATGGCGACTGGAGCGACAACCCCCGTGGCCCGTCCATCTACTGCTCGGGAAAGCTTTGGCCCTCGAGGAGACAGTTGGAATACTCCCGGTTTATCACACTCACAGTATTCTACCGATGGGAGACCGGAAGAGGAGGATCTCGCATCCCGCTTGGGTCAAGATTTGGGTGACCTCGGGGTTCCGTCCAAAAACTCACGACGAGTGAGCTCTTTGCTTGCACGCACAGACTTGGCGACCAACCAAGATAGAATCGCGTTTTCAGACCTTGCGACAGGAAGTCAGTCCACCACTGTGTCTCATGGAGGACTGCGGCAGTCTATAAGCGGCGCAAGCACCCGTGGAAGCTTTGGATTCAACCCTCGCGGTTCTCTGCCACCGGGAAGTGCTTCTATTTACAGCACCACAAGCAGCACTGCTGACGGCCCGGTTGATAGGCTCCTAGAGGAGTTGAACAATGATAGCCTCTATGAGGGATTTGAGAGCATGGACCTTAAGGGAGCTGCGTCAGGTCTCCCGGAGGAA